GGAACCCGCATCCTCCGGGGAGACCTGGGCGCCGCCCCCTGAGGTCCGGGAAGGGATGGGACGCGGGTCCCTTTTCTCGCAGGAGAAGCGACTGTTCGGCGGCGCGGGCTCGGGGCGTCTCAGGTGAGCCAGGCGGCGGACTCGTGGGGCTGTGGGCCCCTTCCTGGTTCCGTCCCCCGTCGCTGCCCGTTTATCTCTGTGCGCCTTTAGGGCGTGCGCTTTGGGAGCACTGCAGACCCTGGTGCTGCGCCCGCTCGGCTTCCTGGTGGTGCCGCTGCTCTACTTGGTATTAGTAAAGCCCGACGTCCTCCGCCAGGGACTCACGCGCCTCGGCTCGGACGCCACCTTCCGCCGCCTACGCTACACGCTGTCCCAGCTGCTCGAGTTGCGCGCGCGCGGGCTGCTGCCTGCCTAGAGCACATCACGCCGGCCGTGCCCATCTGCACTTCCGTCTCCCGTGTGGTTCCTGGGGCCCCCGGGGGGAGACGGCTGAGGGTGTGTCCCTCCTGACTGGCCAGGGCACTTCGCCTCAGAGGATGCCTGTCCTTCCCGCTGGGCCGTGGGTCTCAGGAAGCGTCGCGGGTCTAGGGCCGACCTTTCCCACAGCCTCCTGCTGTTTTTGTTTGTTTTGTTTTGCTCGTTTGTTTTTTTAGCCTTCTACTGTTGCACCTCGGCCAACTCCGACGCTGGTCGACACTGGTCGGCAATTTTGTTACTGAACTCGTTTGCCCCCTGGCGGTAAGCCTGAGCCTTGGGGAGAAGGGGATCCTGATCAGGTTTTCCAGTGGAGTCTATGATTCCTTTTTCCTGGCTGTGTGTGGTCGTTCAGATCCCTGCAGCCCCATTTCCTCTGGGTGGGTTCCCCATCCCCATGCGCACCTGCCTCCCTGTGATCCCTTTCCCTTTCTGGGCACCTGAGCACAGCCAGCAGTGAATACTCAGAACTTGGGGCTCCGTGGGTAATTTTGTTTTTATTTAAGAGAAATGTTCTTCGTGGAAATGAACCTTGAATTTTATTTTGTCTGACACCAATAGTGCTCTGCTTATTTTACAGTAGTGAAACTGTGAACGGTGAAATGCTTCAGAGTATCTCTGTACATATACACAGATTTAGCAGTGATGTCTAAACATTTCTTTGTTTGTAGTGATGATGGTACTGAGGATTGAATTTCGGGCCTTCACACTGAGCTAGGTCCCTAACAGAAACAGTTCTCACTAAACTGCTGGGCTTTAACTTGTGATCCTTGTACCTTAGCCTCCCAGTGTGCTGAAATTATAGGCATGTACCAATACTTCATCCCAGTCTTTTTCATTTTGGTCTGTAGGCATTTTTTCAGGCTTTTTTGTTAAATTTATTTATATAATTCTTTACATCAAATTTAGAAATTGTGCTTTGAGATCTAAATAACTCATTCTTGCCTGGAAGTAATAAAGACATGATATTTTTTCCTAAAATCTGATTCTCCTTGTCTCTTCCCCATTTTTGGCAGTAGTACTGGAGACGGAACCTAGGGCCTTTGCACATCTCAAGCCCTTCTTTTTTTATCTTAAAGAAGAAGAAACAAAAAATCCCCCCAAAATCAAAAGACAAGATTCCAAAACAATGTAAGAGGGTAACAATGGTTAATACATTGTGTATTGTTATCTTTAAGTTAGTTACTCAAAGTACAAGATATCAGCATTTAATTGTCCAAATAATATTAGCACAAACCTATCTTTCAAATGAATTGAGAGAAATTAGTATAACTATTTTAACTATCTTATATATATTATATATATCTTCTATATATACTTTTTTTCCTTTTGCTTTTCCCTTCTTTTTTCCCCATTCTCCTAAACCAGTTTCTCTTTCCTTTTGAAGTTTCTTCCCATTTTACAACATCTGTTGTACATTTTAGATCACATTTACTCTGTCAGCTTCTCACACTATGGAGACAATATGATGTTTACATATTTGCATCTGGTTTATTTCACTTATGAGAATGGACTCAAGTTG